CCATGTCAGAGACCAAGTTTCACACCCATAGTTCTACCTTCGTATTGATTAATTAGTTCAGCTAGATTAATAGAATTCAGGGTAAAAATTAATACTGCATTCTATGTTGTTGTCACGCATAAATACATGAGACCAATTTCTCTCATTTTTATAGTCTAAAGGTTCGGCCACACAGAGCGCTACGCTATGTTCGCTACGTACGCTACGTACGCTGTGTACACTCTGCGACTCAGCTAACATAGGGAACATAGCGTACGGAAGTCTGTGTGGCCAGTTACATTGGCAATAAAGGGATATATTTTTCTGGTCGTATAGCGAACATAGCGTACGTAGCGTGCGTCGCGTACATAGCGCTCTGTGTGGCCGAACCTTTTAGATGTACCTTTATTCGCCGAAAATAACGATCACGTGTTTGTGAAAGGAAGATTTGCTTTCAGGAAGTAAAACGACATGCTGAGTCATTTGAAACGTGAAATGCTTTGTACTTGGAACTACGAAAGCAGAATATAAACAAATTCTTGCGGAATGAATGATTCAAAGCCAATTCTCTTTATATTCAAACGCCGCCTGAAGTTTGAAGTTCTTTCTAACTTTTAAAGAATTAGCAGGTTAACTTAATTTTGATTTGCATCTTTATTAACTTGCATGTGGTTTCAATACAAATTATGACATAAACACGTCTTTTTAACATTTGTATACCTGTTTCGTCTCCCTTAAAGCTGCAACAGGAATGCGTTTTCTTATATCTGGGATGTGGTTCCATTAAGTAACAAGTATTATGACAGTGCCTGTATGTTATCATTTACGCGTACAAACTTAATAAGTGAAGAAAGCAGTCTTCTGGGATTTGGCACCGTTTTATGTGGTGTTAACCGACGTTTTGGAGGAACGTATCGCCTCCATCTTCAGGGTAGAAGAAAATATATAAGAAATCTGCAAGCTAAGAGACCGTGAGAACCGGTAAAAGCAGATTGTGCTTTTACTGTCTGCTTACAGTCTGCTTTTACCGGTTCTCACGGTCTCTTAGCTTGCAGATTTCTTATATATTTTCTTCTACCCTGAAGATGGAGGCGATACGTTCCTCCAAAACGTCGGTTAACACCAC